ATGTGATACAATCACTCCTGGCCTCGTTCCAGCCCTGTCCAGAAACCGAGTGTCCAACATCTCACAAGGGGAATGGCGTGGAGCTTAGCACGTTGCAAATACACCACATATCCCACTGCAGACATTCCTCCATTCGACTGGACCACATTGTGCATTCAACATTGTTCAGCACGTAAACTTGGGATTTAGTTGCTCCCAGCCAGATGGCTTGGCTAACTTGATGAACACTAGGTTGTCATGGCACTCCCCCAATGTGTGGGCTGGTAGCTGCCACTAGGTTGCACCCATCAACCTGTTTGCCATCCAAAAAGTTGCCATTCCGTTTGGTTCTGTTCCTTGCTCTGTATTATTATATTAAAATTGCTATGCACTCACCTACACTGCACAGTTGCCTGTTCATCAAGCCACGTCTACCACGTCGATGGGCTGTGGGAGATGGGGTTTGGTTGACATTGGTCGACGTGCTGGCAACTTTAGGCACACATACTTGCTATCTCTGGCCAGCACCACCACCATTTCTAGCCGCCTACAAATTTCCCCTAACTGCATTTCTCTCCCACCCCGCCACAACCACTGCTTGTATGGTCATACGCCCCCTCTGAGCAACAGGCATTCGTGCAGAGCATAGTTCATTGCGGTGCGCTCAATCCCCTGCATTTGGATACCTTGACATCCTGTACTTTTGGGCTCAGAGTCCCTTGTGCTTGTTATTCAGGGAGGTCAATCCGTGTTGTGCTCTCTCTTTTCTACGACAACACGCACCATCGTAGAGGCCTCACCACCCTAAACCACCATGCCCGCATCCAACCCACACATGACATCGCCTGTGGAATTGCAAGCACAGTGCCACCAATGCAATCAGGAGTAAACAGCCACGACGGACCCCATAACCAACGCGCGGGGCAGCAGCATCTCCCCGTCGCCCCAAACCCCGCCGAACGACCCTCCCAGCGCCCATCTACCTTCGGAAGCAAGCCCTGTACATCGCCATGTACACCGAATCCATGCACACCATCACGATCGACAGTGCCAGCATCGCCACCAACACCCACACCGTCATCCTCAGCACCTCCCCCACAGGCGGAAAGTGAAACTCTTCGGGCACGGGCCTCAGCACTGATCCCACTCGGCCCGCCAGGCGCTCAATGGCGCTCTTCTCGCGATCCCTCCCGCCGGTCTGCACGGCCTTCTCTTCCCGTGCAGTGTCCTCATCAACGGCGGAATCGTCAACGGGCAATTGCGGCAGCGCCCGCGAGTCGCCGGGTCCCGCCGGTGCGGCGCTTGATGATATCCGAACTAGGAGCAGCCTGCGCACTCTCGAGGCCCCACGCCAGCCGCAGCGGCCCAGGGAAGGGCCATTGAACGGCAGCGCGCCGCCATTGACAATCCCAGACATCGGAATCTCGCACCGGCTGGAGGGCGCAAGGTGGGAACCCCCGCCGCCTGGAGTTTTCTCGCTGAGCCAGGATTCGCCCAGAGGGAACGGCCGGGGGATTGGGTGAGGGGGCACCTCCTTGCCTCTGCACTCCCCTGACTGCGGCCTGTCGATGCGGGTGCGCCTGGCCTCCGCCGGACTCGAACTTCTCGCTTCTGTCGTGGGCTGCCAGCAACAGTTCCGAGGACGTGCGCAGCTGGGACTGGGCCACGGTGGGCTTCTGATCGCAACACTGCATAATGACCACCGTTTCACTGGGTGGATCACTTATGCATTATGGTGTGCGACTTGTATGCACTTCAAGAATATTGTTTGTATGCAAGGCATTCTGAATTTATACAAAGAAAAGAAAAATGTGTTTAAGAACTCACAGAATTATTTCTCATGTGATGGGACTTTTGTGAGCATCAATTTGATTGTTGTGGGAGATGCCATCCGTTTCAGAGATAAATGTTGTGTTGAGGTCGCGCTCACAGCTGAAATATTTCTACATTGCCATTGAGTGTATGGGCACCTTTAGTATATGTGTTATAGAATGGGTTGTATTGTGGCGATGAGTGGGCATCTCTGAAGCGCGGTATGGCTGGTTGGTGATGGATGATGGTCCTTGTCATGTGAAAAGGAGAGTTCTGTGGGTGCAAGGAGACTCGAACTGTTCTATTGCGGGGGTCGTTGCCACCGTCGGCAAGGCTCTTCGCTGTGGGAAGGGTGAACAAATATGTAAGCCCTGCGGTCTGTGTGAGGTGTGGCTTTGCGTCTGGCCGTATGCCAGCGCCGTTGAAGCATCGGCGATCGTGGACTCGCGCTTCCCGTGTGCACTCCAAAGGGGGCTGTTTGAATTGCATCAACGGCATTTCCTTCAAGACTTCGAGATTGATAATGTACTGGCCGAACCAGGGGCCTGCTGGGGTGATGACATATGCACCAATTGCGATTTGCACGCCACGAAACAGGTGACTAATGTGGTCTGAGTCCTTGGGGGTGGTCGAGGCGTTAGTTCAAAGTGCGATTTTGGACGCTCGGCTGTGCTTTCGAATAGAATGATAAATAATTCCTCCGTCTGGAATTATTGTCCTTTATTTGAGAGACAAATTTCGTTACAAAGGACAACTTAAAGCTTAAAATTTAAAAAGAAACATAAGAATCGGAAAGATTGGGTTGCTAAACCCTTCAATACCCATCTTCAAGAAAAAAAGTTAGTCCCACCCCCTCTCGAGGGACCTCCAATTTGGCCGAAATTCGTTTAAAAAATGTGCGTGCTGATTCCGCACCCACAAGAGATCTGCATGTTTCTGGGTAACTCCCGTCCAGGGTGTGCCAAAGACAAGTCGTTGCCACCTTTGCGGTGAAGGGCAGCATCCCTTACGTGGAATAGCATTGGCCAAACACGCTCGAGCTTGTTTAGATCCCCATCATGGAAGGCCGTCGTCGCCGTTTTGACGATTTCTGAAATATTGGCCATTGCCCATTTTTGACGTGTGGATGTAAAGCAAGCGGACAAGGCTAAGGTCCAAGGCATTCAAGCTTGGGCTATGTGCGAGCCATTGTTCCAAGGCTATGCAATAGACCTGCTTGGACAAACTGTCTCGATTGAGGCTTGAATCGTTGCTTTTGTGGGCAGCCTGGCCCACACCCCACAAACTGCCATGATCTGCCAACTCTTACATGCAATTGACAATCCATCGCAGCCCAGCAAATGCGTTTCCCTTTGAGAGACATAGTTTTATCCATCTAGCTAGTCGTCTCAAGATCAAGCCCTTCAAGTGCTAAAAAATGGTCGATTTACCATTCCCATCCAGGAGGGCCACTGCCTAATTGCCCCCTAATTGTCCGCCGCTGAATGGGGTGAAGGCCACCACCTTCCTAAGGGTCTGCGAGGAACTTGGGAGGCCTGCTGCAGTATCCCTCGTAGTGGAGTTGGAGGTCCAAAAGTCGTGGTCCAAAAATCTGGACCTGATGGGCATCTCTGATTTGGCCAATCGAGCTTGAATTGCAGCCTCAAGACACGCCGACTTCCACGATCAGGACTTCCAAGACGCATTTCCTGTTGCCTTTCTCCTTTGCAAACACCTCCACGATCTTCTGACCTAACGGCGTGGATAGTTTTGCCCGGGCGGCAGTGTAGCGCTTCCGCAAAGGCGTGCTTCTCAATACAGCGAAAATGGCCATTCCAACAGGGATGTTGAAAAATTGGTGGGTTTCTGGCTGGATGACCCTTGGTACGAAGTGCTGTCAAATCCGCAATACTCAACGGATTGACTTGAAATTCTGATAAAAAGCCATATTCTCAAAACATAGGCGCAGCTTTGCAAGAAATTTGAATGGGAAATAAAGTCCCTATGATGCAGAAGTAAGGCACCAAAGTCATAAGGGACAATTAATTCCGGACGGAGGAAATAATAAATTGGGATTCAGGTTGCACGAGCTGGTCTCCACCACTCTTCACACATGCCATTTCACCGATGCATGACACTTAACGTTGAAGTGCCATTTTCTGCCTAGGTCTCACCACCGGACGCTGACAAAACACGAGGCCAAAGGCATGATTGAGAATACACAATAATTTGGCTCAAACTCATTGTGGTTTACATCAATGGCACACAATTTGGGGGATGGATTGATCCATCCATGGGTGGAGTTCAAAGATTGTCCCCTTGACCAGGGAGCGGTTGTCAACCACCAAGGGTTATGCCCCCGCCCAGGATTCCACATCCCTTGTGCCTCGGCTGTCATTTACACAACTTCGAGGAATGAACACGATGTAATGTCACATTAAAATTGTCTAAAATGGTCAGTTTGCTGTTTGGTGCAGGCCTGTGGCACACATGCATCCGGCATTGAGATCTGCAAGGAAGCGTGCTGTGCACGTGTGGCATGTCGCGTGTTTCAGGCAGCCCAGTATTCCGACAACCTGGATTGGCCCCAGGCAAGTACAACTGAGGCAAAATGAGCACAGCACTATTCTTGCCACATTATGACCTTTCTTTGTGAAGGATCGCAACAATAGCCAAGTCCAACAGTTGATTTAAACACAGCTTGCACAAATGATGTGATTGTCGTCTCTTTTTGAACTCATTATATGTAGCGTCCATCCTGTTGCCTACCCTCCCTACCACCCTCTCCAAGCAGATCTGCATCCAAGTGCGTGCCTCCTCTACACATGCATCCACAGACGAATGCATGCACAGGAGCAAAGCGAGCAGCCCCACAGCCGTTACCCCTCCGACCGATATCCAATGCCTGTGACATACCTATCATGTCAACAATCATAATACTGGTCACAAGACATGCAACGAACCACCTCATGTTCAAAACAGCAAATGCCTGCACTTTTGCCTTGCCATCACCTGGGCGCTGCTGAGCACTAGTGAGCCAATTGCTGGCCACCGCGCCACGAAACCGAGGCTTGCTGTTTTCGTTGGGTGCTGATTTTCCCAACGCCTCTCAAAACTGTATTTCGCTGGTGAAATGTGTACGCCAGCGGCGTGCAAGCCTTGCCGCATTTGCACAAAGCCAGGCAATGGTAGCTCAAGAATGAGGCCAAGGCTTCCCATCGTCAAGTTCGTCAGAGTGTATAGGCTGGCATTCCCCAGCCCTCCCAGGCCTTCATATACTCAGGGTGCCACACTGCAGAACCTGGAATCATGGCAGGGGGCGTGTACACTTCTGGCCGTACAATGGCAGGCGGCGCCATGTGAGCCGTCTCCAGTGCGATGTGCTCTGCGCCTGCGTTCAGCTCTTTCTTGCACACTCTAAAGGCACACAAGAAGATACAGGCATCAGCATCCCATCGGCCATGAGTAACATTGTCATGGTGGAAGCCTGAGCGTTGTCAAGACCCGTTGGGCTCTGAAACGCCGGGGCCTCTTGCGCACAGGGCTCCAAACACTTCAATGCAAATTGTTCTGCCCACACACATGGTCAACCAATGCACTCGAAATCCATTGAGGCATCTCTCCGTCGACAAGAGCTTTCAGCATGCTAAGAACCAGCAGCAGAGTACAGGATCGAGGTGTGGTTGCCTGCAAAAGAGATCTGCGCAGGCACCAAGTTACGCTTGACATGGTGCTTGAGCACACGGAGGAAGCATGCAACAGGTATGGGCACTCACTTGTAGAATTTCATCAGCAGGATGGGCACCGTTATCCACAGTATCGTCGCCTGCCAATAGGCCTTCTTCATGGCCAGCATGCTGGACGTGAAGAACTGAAACAGCCAGAGACAAATGAGCAGACGATAAAAGACGTAGTGCCACATTGTGCCACCCGACTCGTACTTCCGCACGAACACGTACAGCATCTGGTACCGCCACGCCAGCCATCCCAGCATGAAGAACAGGGTCGCAAACGGCAAGATCATGGGTGCTGTCACGGAGTATGCCAGTCCGATGAGGAACACAAGCATAAGGACCCCGTACTCCCGACCGGGCCTTATACTGTTTGGGGCTAGGATCTCGGCCCTCTCCCTACCCGTCCTTGCGCATCCACACCGGCCTCCCAGTCTGTAGGAAGGGCAGGCAGAAAAGACTGAGATCATGTACAAGCTTCACCAATGGTCATAGTGCCACTGACTGACCCTTGAGCAGCAACAATGTGCTAATTTGCAGAGAAAATTGATGTGCAACTAAAGTGACAACATGCCCTGGATTGAGCATAAGATGCCCGGTTGGAGGGGTGGCTGCAGAGCGCAGAACGGACTGTAATGTCAATGAATGCCTGTAGAAATCTTCCCAAAGAGGAACAGGGATTCCACACATGCGTTGTTGACAGCGAATTGGTGCAAAGCACACATCGTCTGGGTGCCAGTCAGCAGAAACGTCGAGCAAGCCAACATTGCAATCTGGCAATGCGGGACTCCTTCCCAACGGAGATTTACCTTGTTCAATTCATTGAAACGCGTCACAATAAAGGAGAATTCGGTGCCAAAAGTGGCCGCAAACAACATGCCACTTACTTCAGCAAGTAATACCACCAGCTGGGCGTGGGCAGCAGCAGCTGAAGTGGCAAAAGGAACAGCGCCCTGAACGCTATGTAGTCGATAAAGAAGTTTGACGATGCTGGCATAGCCACTCCGATGAGTTCTGGGATCTTTGAGGCGTTTTCCACTGCTGCATTGAGCTGAAAGAAGAATGAGCCACCCAGCACGGCACCAAGGAACGTGGCAATGTCCCAATAAAAGTAGAGCTTCGCAATTTGGCGATCCAAGGCGGTGAACGAAACCGCTCTCCCCATGGCCTGACAGCCGCAACCACATGGCAACTCAGTCCCTATGGAGTCCACAGCGACATGGGGTGCGTCAACTGCCTTTGCAAGTCGCAGCAACATAACCATTTGTCACAATGCTATGCAGTTAAACCGAAAACGGCGACAGTGCTTCTGTGCACTGGGCAGATTTCTCACATGTGTCCATTCTGCATTTGAAGACCAGGCCGACAAGGCTGTCAGGGGTTAGGCGTGACCCAGCGCTGCCTGCATGTTACATTGTACAGTGGCATCAACAAAATGCAACACCAAAAAGCTACAGCACACCCAGTAATGCCCGACACAGCGCCCTCCAGGGCATAACAAATAATACCTATATAAGAGCATCTTTATCGGTGGGTGCTATTGTCCCGGCGGAGCAATTCGGCTATCCGAATAGCACCGCATGTCAAAAAACCATCATTAACGGTTGGGGAGCAATAGCACCCCAATAGCACCCCCGGACCTATTCGGTGCCGAGCGGCGCTATTTTGGCCCCGAATAGCACCGCTCGGGGCCGAATAGCACCCCAGAACAGCACCGGTGCTATTCGCGCAGAACATTGTAGTGCTGCCGTGATGATATTCGGCGTAGGCATAGCACCCACCATTGCGATGCGCGCAGGGGAGCAGTAGCACCGGCGCTATTCGGCAAATGCCGCCTTAGTAAGGTGGCACGGCAGCCAATGAGAACCGTTCCTAGATAACTTTGCCGGTGCAATAGCGCCGACCAATAAAGATGCTCTAAATAGCCTCACTGAACAACTCATGCCCTCTGCCATATCCAAGGTGTCGCTGTAAATTTCGCCAAGATTTTGACACACATGCCAGTTAGATTTGCAAGACTCACCTGCACTAGGTAGTAGAACCCCAAAGGCAGCACAAAATTATGCCAGAAAGCAAGGAGGACGGATGGTAGAAGCCCGGACACGAGGCTCTTTGTACGAGACTGCTGACAGTACCAACTATTCCACAGCTCCGATTCTCTGTCGCCGCATACGTATGTGTTGAACATTGAGAGGCTCCCAGCGAAAATGCCGACAGGAAAGAAGATGAGCACTGCAAGAAATGGCAGAACGATTATGGTGCGAATGTCCCTCTCTGTGCTGGTCTTCCAGAGAGCCTGCCAGTTCATTTCATCTGGTCCGGGGGCGGGCTGCATCTGAAACTTCTCGCCGTCAGAATGCAGCAAAATCTGGGATGCAATTGTGGCAGCGCTCTGGGTCCTGTTGATGCCAGAAGCCATGGAACAACTCATGGGCGGCAAGGGCAATGTGGCAGCTCATGCGGCATTGTCAATGGAGTGCAACAAGGCCTGAATGGTGCTTCGCACCAAATATCAATCGACTCGTCTGGGCTGAAATCTTCAGCCTAACCCACCTGAAGAAGCAAAGCCATGAGGAGGTTGGCTTGCTCTTCAGCACTCTCTCTCTTTCGGAATTGATCTTTTCCTCAAGAAGCAACAATTCCTTTGTGTAGTAAGGCACAGCCTCCTCCACTTTGCGAACTCCAAAGACACCAAACGTCAGACAACTCCACCAGTACCTGGGAGGCATGACACACGAGAGGCTTCATGTGTGCATTCAGGTATGGGAGGTGCGACAGCCACGTTCAAGCTGTGCTGAATGATGTCTGGCTTGAAGTCAGCAACCAACTCAGTTGGTGCTGGGCGCTGCAACACATGCCCTGGATTGTGGGAACCTGCTGCACTGCGTGACTTGTCAGCGAACCGCTACTCTGAAAACCTTCAACTTGCTTCAGAGGAACAACACCCAAAACATCTTCAAAGCCTAGTCAGATGTTGGCTGTGTGTGTAATTGTTGATACACTGCAGTGCAAGTTTTGGCAATGCTCTGTGTGTGGTTGATCGCCATGACTGCTCAAAGATGGTCTGTGACCCAGGGGACATTATGTGCACCAACACAAATAGAATTCTACCTCTACAGCCTGCTCACCATAAAAATGCTACTTTTGTGGGCACTCTTCCAAAATGCTGGGTGCCAATGCCCTCAGACTAACTCTGCAAAGCATTTGGTGTCCATTTTTCCTGCCAGATCAAGCACATGCACTAGATAAGGTGCCTGATACCAAGGCATAGGAAAGCCTACAAAGAGTTGCGGATCAGGGGTCTTCTGACAGAAGGAGAACACCGGGCTCAATCCCTAATTTCAGCATGGCTTTAGGGAAACGCTCATGAATTCCTACCTGTGCTGTACAACAGCTGCAGCACCTGCCTCCCGATCAGCAGTCCCCCGGGCAAGCTCCAGCTTTCTGCTCACTTTGTCCCACTGGAACAGTAATTCATCCACTTTCTTGTGCACCAGTATTGGAGTGGCACGAACAAAATCCTTTGGGAACAAGCGCCGAAAACTGCCAGATATCACACATTCTGCTGCAGAATCCGAAGATGGTGTGATCGGAGATGCGTCCTGGCACAGGATCCTCCAAAATGTCACCATGTGCACATCGACATTCCCTTTTCACAGAAACCCCCTCAATTGACGATCACTGCATAGCCGAATCCGTAGTGCATAAGACCAGTTTGCATCATTTCTGCTTTGCCGATTCTGTATTGTGTCGCTCCCATGCCCCACAAATGCAAACAGGATATTTAGGACTCCGCATGCACAAATTAATGCATTGCATAACGTTTGCCATCACAAGACGAAGCACTGCCCCAGGGAGTGATGATGGGCACATTGAACCAGGCTGCTTCCTCCAAAAGCAACTGACTCCTCGCACACCCAGTCTGCACCAAGTACCTGCATATTTGATGCCTCGATATGTGAGTGTGAAATAATTTACAGATGCCACATGTAACCCCTGAAGTTATGTGCAAAGAACGGTGTCACTTTTGTAGTGAACACGAAACAGTTGTCCCAAAAACAACACAAGATACTGAGCACCATTCGTCTGTGGCAGCCCGAGGACCAGGGCGGCGCCGCACAATAAGAAACGGTGCCACCACTGGCGAAGGCCAAGGGCAGCAGGGGCCCCAGTCCGTAATGTTCGCATGGCGAAAATTTTTGCCAGCGCAAAAAGTTGGCCGCGGACAAAAGTTCGCGCACCGACTCGTGTGCGAATATTTTTCCGCGGAAATATTTTCTGGGCGAAATACACGAATTTTTTTCAGCACGAACTTTTTTACTTATACAGTACCAAAATGAACGCATGCATGCAAGGTAGGCAACACAAAAAGCATCACACTGGTCATGGCGTGCATCCACTGTCTCAGATCATAGGACATGACTGGCTGTCTAGCAGACTGCATGGACCTCACAATCCTTGGCACAAAAGCACGGCCATCCCTACAGCATCAGGACACACGCAAGCAAGACATTGGAGAAGGACAACAAACTGGAATGATAATATGGCACAAGGAGTCGACTGCAAGTGGTGGCCGCTGATGCACGTTCTACTGTACCTTGCCACTGGCTATGGTGCCACTCCTGACATCCAATTCTGACACCTACAATGTCACCAGACCACAAGTTGGCCACAGGACTACCTGCCATTATGGCATCCATTTCACCCCTGTTTTGCCCCTCTCATAAAGAATTGCAGCAGACTCACAACAGGAATATCAATTTCACATGCTGGCATAGTGGCAGAGAATAGTGAACGTGCTAAAACACAGGCAGTTGTGGCGCATGCGAAGAGAGCCGGAATTCAACAAGTTGTGTCAGCTATCAGCACACTGCAACTGAATAACCTGTGCAACACATGCCCTCATAGCATCACCTGCTGGAGAGTCCCATGCCGTGGTTCCTTTGCTCCATTCGACTTCTTTTTAAGAAGTGGCTTTTGTGAGCTGCTCTCCTGAATCTGGATTTCCGTGCTGGAAACAGGTCCCAGCTCCACTTCATTCTTCTCTATCACCTCTTCAGAGGACTGTGGTTGACGTTTCTGTTCCTGTGCTTCTACCTCGTTTTCACCACAAACAGCAGGTTTGGCCCCAGGGTGCGATGTCCCATGACGGATCTGCGACAGGGTCCTAGAGTGCGCTGTTCCCAGACGAGTCTTGGACATTTCTGCAATATCCCATCCAAGCAGGTGGCTCCAAAGGCGTTTCCAAATGGTGTGGTTTCTTTGAATGCCTCGCCTCCTATCACAGCATCGATGCTGATGATTTGCAATGCCATTTGCCGATTGACACATTTTTATTTGAACAAGCACATTCTCAGAGACTGGCTATTACACCTGTCTAAGCCGATGTTTTGCCCAAAGGCAGCAAAATGGTATGTGCAGATATGGACATAAGAAGTGTCTTAATGGTACCAAGAAGTGACGTTTCTGCACATGCAAACAGGGCTAACAATGTGTACCAACATTCTGATGGGATATGTCACAACTTGTAACCATTGAACAGGGCCCCACTTTTCATTCCTACCATGCATGGTGAATATTTGCTGGTTCAGCCCTCAATCTCATGCACTACACAGAGCAGCTACATAGCACAATCATGCTGAGTCCATAAATCCCATGTTCACAAGATCAACTCAGAAACTGTGCGATTGGCACAGGGACATGCCAGTAAATGGTTTGAGTTCATGCAGGTGAGCAACTATGGTATTGTGAGGAGCCTATGCGTGCCAAACTCACCCCTCAAGCACTCTGTCGAGATCTGGAACGTTTGTGAGAAGGACAGTGTACTGCTGTGCATTAACAGCCACGGTGCGCCCATCGCTCGCTTGCGTATTCACAGTTTTGAGGAATCGGCATGAGGGTCTCGTAGTCAAGACTTTCTCTGTGTCTTTCTGTTCGGGATTACCACTATCAGTGCCCATACTCCACCACCTCAAGATCTGGGAAGGACCTGCCAGCACCAAGATAGATATGACAAACAACCTTGGCAAGCAGTGTAAGATCTCAAAATTGCACTACCACGTGCAGCTTCCAGGCAGAGGTTATGGATCTGCACAAAATGGTGGGACACAGTCAACTGTGCTGATATCCCACACATCCCAAATGGGGTGTCATGAGAGTGCACAGCCGACAGATTACAACAACCTAAGTTGTGCTTGCACCAGAAGGACTGCACAGAGAAACACATGTGAACACCAGTTCCACTCACGGTCGGTTATTTCAGCTGCATTGCAGACTGACATACGTTTGGTGCATCCTTCGATGTCCTGATCATCATCATTGCCACCTGCACTGTGCTCTGTCTCGATGTCAACGTGGGTATCGGTTACCGCAGTATCTGTGTGCTGCAGCTTGCCAATGTTGGGATTACAGGCACTCTCTAATGATCCAGATCTACCCTGCTGGCCAGCTATCACATCTGATGTTTCAGGGGTTCGTTCCTCAGTCTTGGGAGTTTTGCATTGCTCTGGTGAGTCACGCCAAGCTAGACCAGAGCCGTCCCTGCTGCTGTCATCAATAGATCCCACTTCTTCATACCTTGCAGGGGATGAACAAGACAGTAAATGACTAAATGACCTCAGACCAGGTACAAAAATGGCTAGTTGTCTTGCAAGTAACCAGAATCTACAATGGATATAGGAAGTGAGGCAAATCCATATCCAACACAGGAAAATAGCACAGTGCAGCATAAACAATCAGCAACTGGGACAATCAGTCCAGCACCTGCTGTGTACTGCTATCCTGACAACTATCCACCCAACACTGAAGACATTGAATGAAGCTCAGTCAATGCGCTGCAGCCTAAAACCTGAGGAATGTAAAAGGCAATGTCCCTGTTGTTGCTTCCAAGGCAGCAATGTTCCTGTGCAGAGTAGTCCCAAAAACAGGCATACCTCCGTGATGACAATGCCCTCACTAGTGCCCTTGTCTTGATGGGCTCCATGGAAGACGCAATGGCGAGTGTTCCTCCCGAATGTTTTAGCTGATCTTGCAGCGCACTTTTGCGAAACGTTGCCAACTGCACCAGCCGTCTCTTCTTGTTCCCCGTGCCTTTCTGAATCTCAGGCGACACATCAAATTGGTATTTACGTCGCCAGAGATTCTCGTCCACACCTGCATTGTTAAAATGCATTGGCCACAGGTCTCTCCGGAGCATTTATTAGGCACAAGCACTGAACCACAACCTTGCAGCTTTCGGTGCTGGAACCCAGCAACTTCATGTCTAGTTGCTGCGAATGCGTTGCTGTGTATGCACGACCTGACTTGGCCCCTTAGAAGAGTTGTTCTAATTACATCATCACGATGGCACATTTGCCCCTGTGCCCACAGAAACTAGTCCAAATGATTGACCACGATGCACTGTGTGCTCTGCCCCAACTCACCTCCAGACAAATAACGCTGACGTAGTCGCACAAATGCCTGCACAGAAGAGGGGGGAGATTGTGATTCATGATAACAGTTTACACTAATTGTGAAGGTGAGAAAATTATAGCGCATTATTATAACGAGAATAACGTTAAACAAGGTGTGATTGGACACAGCGGAAATGGCGATTAAAACATGGTGCAGTTGAGAACGGTGATTACTAACAGGGGACATCTCCTGCGAACACTATTTGGTTGACGTGCTTGTTTTGCAACACATCTGGTAACGGGCGTGCTTCCCATGCCTGGGAGCAACCGTGCACAAGAGCACGCAAGGGTGTTCAGTTTCCCTGGTATCAATAGTTGCGATCTAAGAAGAATGATATTGACACAGTCAAGAAATGTTATCAACTGTGGAAGACACTCAGCTGAGCACACAATCCTTAAGTGCTACCTCTGTTCCAAAAGTCAAGTCGCATCTGTAGCTTGCACGCACGAAGATCAGCATGTGTGTGAGCCAGAAAAATTAACCAGAACAAAATTCGATGTGCCACAACAAGAGCTATCCAACTAGCCCTCTCGCATGGCAAGCGGTGCCGCCATTCTTGCCATATGTTGAGTGCAGCTGAAACGCGATTTTGCATTTTATCGGGACCTAGGACGGGGCATAGCGAGCTTGTCTTGCCCTTCAGAAGAGGTGAATCGACACTAGTTATATCTAAGAAGGCGGTATGCTTTGTCGGTTTGGCCTGCGCTAAGGATACGGCTTGATTCCAGGTAGAATCAGTGAGGAAAAGGATTTGAGTTTAGTACAGAATTTGGGGAATCAACAACAACTTTGTTAGGGTTATGGTCATTGTACCAGAGGCACCTCCATCTGTGAACAACATCTACCTGGCAGGCTTTCCAAGCTCAGGGAGGTCATAAATACCAAAAGTGAGCCTAGATTGAGGTACAAGGGGCCCAATGTTTGAAACCAGAATTTTGGAAACATGATATAGATACTGGAAGAAGCCATGAGCGAAAAGCATGATAGTATTGATATGAAGACTCTTGTAAAGTTGTAGTGGTGCCTATTTGTTGTCTACAGCGCTGTTCTCCATGAATTTTGGGGAAGCGGGTTGGGACATTTGGGGAAAAGGTCAACGCAACAATGTGGGGAATTGAGGACCTGCATAGAACTAGACAGGGGCATTTCTGGCAAACCTGTGGATACCACGTTTTATGGTGATGACCAATGTAACCAAGACCCATCTCAACCCAAAATCGACGAAGCAATCCGAAAGTGGTGGCGGATTGACTGATTGAGTTGATCTTGCAAAGTCATAGAAAGAATAGCAGATGTGAAATGACTTTTTGAATGGAGGTAGTACGTAGCAACATGCAGCACTGCATAATCAGGCTACAATTGAGAGGCAAAGCAAATGCGGGCGACGGCCATGGTCCTGCAGTACATTTATGAACAACGTGCTGGGGCGTTTGGAGCACAAGGAATGCCCATGACCGATGAATACCTCTTGAACTTGCAAGTGCATTTGTCATCACATCCATTACAGACTCAGTATTTCTTGTCCCTTCAGATGCATGTGCACTCAATGGAAGACACAGAGCTATTCCTCAAGATCTGCTATGTTGCCAAGCATGAACCAGATCCAAATGTCTCACACTGAACCATCGCACGTCTTGAGAGTCCAATTGGGGAAAATACTGCAAAATCACTGCAGTGTTGAGGGAGCAAGAGCACCAAGCAGGACCTTGCATCCACAAGTGGCTGTTTTCCCTATTTCAGCCACAGACCATAAACTCCCTTTTACTGCATCTTCCAAGGTGCTGTTAGCTTCGAAAGTTTTCTATGCAAAGTTGCCTTAAATTTCAAGATGGATCAGTTCTGCACAGCAATTGGCAGCAAGAGGTGCAATTTGAACCCTTGCATGAATGCTGTTCCAAAACCATGAAATTACAGCAACCAGGTACCACCATTATCGTGATTCTGTTTGCTGCACTGGCCATTATAACATATCTCACCGGTATGGATCACGGAAGGGCTGAGGCTCAAAAAACATCAATGACACTCAGTGAGTGACATTCATGGGATGCTGAAAGCTGCCCGGAATTTAAAACTGCCATATACCACTGCGATTATGCTGAAGCGAACAAGAGTGAGACTGAGAAACCATCAAGACAATAGTGCTCAACATACCCTGTGGTGGTACCGCAGGACAACAATGGCGTAGGCAATGATTGCATACACCAGTATCATGTGCACCCTGCAAGGCAGCAACACATGGACAACAGGGGGCATTCAACAACTTGAAAAGAAGAAGGCAACTCCTGCTTGACTGCCAAGCTGTCAAGGCAACCAACATCCATGCGACATGCAATCACAGAATCTACAAACATGTCCACAAGGGCAGATCCAAAAGCGAAGATTTGACAATCACCTATCAATCTGGGTTCAGGGCCACGACTGTACAGTGATGCGCCAGTACGCAGGAGTTCAGAGTCCAAAAAAACAATGTAAAAGAGCACCCAAGAGAACAACAGTCTGCATAAGCACAGCTGCAAGCCTGGAGCCTGGTATCTTGGCCGACCACCAAGATGGCATATGCTTGACCCATATTTTCATTCAGCTAAACCAAGCGATAGTACAATGACAAGAATGCCTGTGGCTTGATTCAGACAGCAAGTGCACCAGGGCATGAAATTTCAAAGTGGTGGAAACTGCCCACATAGATGGACGTGCAACGGTTGATGCAACTCAGTCGTCTAGACTTAGGCATGTGGTGAAAGAGAAGTTGTTACTGTCGATGATGTCTGTAAAATGTCCACAGTCGTCCACCAGTCGACTCCAAAAATAGACATGCACTGCAGAATCCTCAGGCTATCCATCCACTCCAGCACACAGCGCACCAAAATATGTCAGAACCGGGCTTCACATTGCTGGCCGTCATCCTCGAGAACTGGCCCACAGGGACCAGCTCTCGCTCAGCTGCCTCCTTGGCGAATCCCCCATTCACATGGATAGGTATCACTACAGCAATGAACAATATCACAACGCAGTCCAAGGGACAGTGCATCAACAGTTGGTGCCGCAGAAAATGGTCGTAAAGCTTCCCAGCTGAGGTATCAGAATGACAATAATGACCGCTGATGCAAATCCGTAAATCTGTAGAGGGAAGCACACTCGTTCACGGTGCCCACGAGCGGCTGCAAATTTTCAGTGATGCAGCTGCCTCCACCAGACAATGATTGCTACTCTGCATTACAAAGGAGGGCGGCTGGCTCCAATCCTGTTGGCATATACAGTGCCTGAACCTTACATGCATCCACGAAGGTAGTGATTGTCTACATGAAAAGGATACTGCAAAAACAACAATACACCTGCAAATGTGCACCAACACATGATTAATGTCCCATGAATCCTATGAGGAAATGCTGTGAACATGCACAGGCAATGGTCCACAACCTCTGACAAATTTGTCAGACTTGTTGTCAAGCATGATAACGCACCTCGAATGTATAGCACATCAGCATATGGAAATTATTCTTAGTTTTGCAGCGTGAGGCACAGTATCATCTTTTCTTTGATGCAAAACGTTGCCTGTCCTGGATGTACATACCCAGGATATGGGCACATCCCACACATATCTTGGGTCGTGTGATGCCACATGCGCGATCGCGCCCAGCGATGCCAGACGTTGGGATTTAAAGGAATCTGCGCGCGTGCGCGTGTATGTGTGTGGGGGGGGTGAGGGCGGGGGGCATCACCCGAGCCAAGGTACCCCAGAATATGACCACCATACCCCAGGGAATGGCCACCCATATCTTTGGCATACCCCAGGACATGGGCGCCTGTATCTTGGATATGGAGTATTCATATCCAGGATACAGGCATGATATCCATTCTGGGTTACGGCGCCTATATCACACGCGACAATCAGGGTATGGGGGCATCCCATATCCTGCTCCAAAGCCAGGATATGCGACTTTTGCTGCCAACAGTACCAACAATAACATCAGAACAGCCTTGATCGTTTTGGTGTGCAGCAAATATCAAAGATGCGCAGGACTGACAGCTGATGCTGGAGACTAGAAGTAGTTCTATTGCCTGTTGGATCCTATTGCCTATTGGAGGTGCAGCGCTTCAGGCTTCAAGTGTTGTAAAAGTTGGTGATGTGATCGCCACACACATTTGAGAGGAACCAATGACACTGTGACTCACATATGGCTGCCACAACCAGCGTCAAGGGAAGAAACAGCTGCACACCAAATGCCATCGTCTTTGCCAGCATCTGCAAGACAGCCATAAACCCGGGGGTGTCTTGTCAGAGGCAGCTGCAACAACGAACAAACTGCTGGAAGAAAAATCGATGAACTGGGGATCAACCGCCACAGTTACATGTCGTCAAACTAGTGGGACAGAAGTTAAAACACTTAGACAAGGTGCATAACTTCTTGAAAACAGTGTCGTGGTAGCTGAATAAGGAAACCATGACTTCAAATTAACAAGATCTGAGGCTGTCATTTTGGTGAGTGATATGGACGGGACATTGCAGGACAACACACACGACCTGTCCAACAAAAAACAACCTGCCACAGCAACAGGATCCCGCCAAGCACGCACTTACCAAAGCATCCAGACCAGCGCTTTCAAGGATATCGTTGTCTGATATGGCGATTGTGTGGAAAAGCCATTTCCTGCAGTGAGCCAACCAGACCAACTTCTTGTGTTGTGTATACCCTCCAGGAAGTGAGGAACAATCGTCACAGAGGAGCTGGGCCTGGTTAGTGAGGAGCAAGCCAATCCACTGCATGAAGCATCCAATACTGAGCTCGTTGGTAGCTCTGTTCTCACCATAACATTCCACAACTTCCCTCTGGGAGTGGTGGCGGCTTCACAGCTACCTGTTGGAGGACCTGCTCATTGCCAGCGACAAGGCAAAAATCACACAGAAGATAAGTCATGCCCAGAGATAACAGGTCGTTCGAAAAAGAATTTATTGACGACAGCCCATATGCTGGGCACAAAAGATGTGCCTTCTGCAACGCCTATGTCTACCCAGGCAACCAGCATAATTCTCTGGGGAAAATCACACACCAGAGGATGCTGTTTATTAACATTCCAACCTTTCCACGTTTTCAAAGTGTTCTTTAATAAGACAAACAATCCCCTCCCCTTCCCCCCGGGGTGGGGAGGGGGAAGAAACCTATTGGCACCAATTACACCACTCGCATGGTTTTTCTCAGAAACAGTGAATTAGACACACATTTGACTTCTAGAGCGCACGCCAGGAACATGCATGTCTGCATTTCTGCCATGCACCTGGCCTCCATGAATCAAATAGAATTACAACAGCTGAGAAAAATGTACAAGAACAGATTCAGCTATTGCCTGTTCTGCATGAGGAATTGGAATTGGCGATCCAATTGTCAGCAACAGAATCTACGAGGAACAGGTCAAACACCAATGTACAGACAACCATGCGAATGTCCTTCCCACATTTCACAGGACTGGCAAACGAATGGCGTCATGGGACAATGCTGCTTCCTGAAGAAACCAGTTGTATTTGGCAAGGCAGTCACATGGACATACCCACAACAATTCATGTGCAGTGATGTCACATTTCCATATCTGCAACAATGTAAACTCTTGCAAACAAGGAGACAACAATGTGCTGCAGCATCAATCCGCAATGTGCAGGTGTTCATCAAATGTTGGCATCCATTAGTGCGACATTCCGGTTTTGGCTTTGAGTCCCGCTTGGAGTCCCCGCATTGGGAATATTCTGCATGGAGCACACATACCGTCCTCATCTTGTACACAGGCACTCTTGTGTAAAAGATGCCAAAAAAGAACATGAAGATGGCTCCCACAGATGTGTTGAATATCAACCTGCACAGTATTTGCACCCAAATCGTCACTGCGCCTCCAATCAGCAGAGGTTACTCTACAGAAGGATGCTCAGACACTGGATAGTGTTTTGCAAACGAACATGAACATTGTCACGGACGACGTGGCTGACCAAGCAACACATGTGCATGCGTAGTTGCACTCCGGATGAGAAGCCATAAGTGCAGAGAGTGCTCCATGTGCAGCCAGCCAGTTCAGGTCGTGCAAACACAACAATGACAAAATGCCCCTGTGACAACCATGGAGACAAGGTACCAATATCTCGTTGCTGCATTTGCATTATCATGCAAGAATTCTGCCACTTGAAAGCGGAGGCAATCTCCAGGTTTCCAGGTGCCCGGTCTGCACTGTTGCACATGATGCACCTTATGCAGCTGTGTTCAATCCTAATTAAAGTGCCAGCTGAAGAATGACCTGACCTGATGGACCCCAGGTGGACCGACCCCTATTGACCGTATGACACGCACCTCGCCGCTGCCTCACTGGACACTCAGTTCGCAATCTTTGTCCTTTATTGAAGCTCTCCAGCTCTTGGTAATTAGTGTACCCCAAACCCAATTCCAAGCTTTCAGATAGCTTGCACTTTCAGCAACGAGCTTGCCGAGTAACCATAAAGCCGCCTTATTGGCGGTTGGGGTACATTTGCCGTGCAACAGGAGCGCCCTTTTTGGAGCAAAGATATAGCAGTGAACACCTGGATGAACTATGATGCTGTTGGTTGGGTAACGTCGTGTCCGGATGGCGTTTTAGCAGTCTCGATACGATGCAACGAACGAACAAAGAATGGCAATAATCTGTCCACCTTTGAGCCTCTCCCACACCCAAGCGGAGAAACAATGACCGCAGTGCTGTTCCCGCGCTGACTGGCTGTCTGTCTGCGGTGCAGTGCCCTCCGCGGCCCGACACCGCCCATAGACTCGCCGATCGACCGCAGATATCCCCGTTCGGTGCGCAACCGCGAAGCACGCCGCGCGTGACTAAATTCCACCAGCAACGCGCGATATACGGCCCGAATCTAAGCAATTCAACGCCCCCGAGATTGACGCCAAACGCGACAGCACAGTCTCGACCTACGGCCAGCGCAAGGGAGGTCAACCCGATCAGACATCCCTGATACGGGAACGAGAGACCGGCGGCTGGTCGCGCCGCTCCAGATTCGACGGCAACCCCCGCCAGTCCGTGGGAGTGCACGCCGCTATGACCTCAAGATTACTCGCCGAACAATCAAGATCGGGGCACCCGACGCCTCTTCAGCGCCCGCGCGAGGGGTGCGCAAGTGCCGGCGAGAATCATAAGTGCCGGAACACTCACGCGCTGGTGATGTCGTCGTCCAGCAGCGCGTTCCTTATGCAGAAGGGGTTGCTCTCGGGGCATGTCGTATTGCTGACGATGGGCTGCAGGAAGGGCTCCTCCGGTGGCGACTCAGGGAACACTTGCGGCAGGGGTGGCTCGACCTCGCCGGGAGCAGGAGCCGCCGCGGCCTCCTCCGGTGCCAGCGCCATGCCGCCAACGCCCTCCTGCCCAGGGACCCCACAGGCAAGACACCCCACCCCTTAGCCGCACCCAAGGCAGCGGCCCCAAATGAGCGATCGCCCCTGTGTGAGTCAGCATGACTGGGGCACAGCAGAGGGCCCCGGGGAGCGAGATGCATGCTGGCGGGCACCGGATGCGGCAGGCATTGTGGTTCGTGTCGGCGACTAATTAGTGGCGTGATCCTTTCGTTGGTGGAGATCTCTTCAGTGTAGTTAGTGACGGTACCTTGGACCCCAAGACCAACTGACCAGAGGCATTGGAGTTTCAGCAAGAGGGACAACATGGATATCCGCACGCGTGCATTGGATTGGTAAAAAGCAGTGTCTCCTAATTGATGCTCGGCCTACAAAGAGCGTCCCTTTCTTCGGCTTAACGCACTCTTTGCCACACACCATGCGGCTTTGCTGTGCAGTGGGACCTCAGCTCGGTCAATAAAAACTAAAACGGACACAATAGAGGTGTGCTGTCCAACAACAGCGTTGGTTGGGTGTTCACACAGTTTTATAACAGAACCAAACGCGGTGGTCCAGGTGCTGATTGCCACGCTCGGGTCATCAGTGTCTGCCACCTGACCATTCATGCCATGCCATGTGCCGCAGCATTTCAGACTTGCAGTGCGCGGCGAGAAACAACTGACACGGTTATATTGATTTGGAGACATTGTGCTGTCCGTCAACGCCACCCCTTCTTGAAAACTTGGAACTTGGTTGCTACCAAATTGGGTATACGTTCGGTGGCCCAGCTGTCCGTAATTTGTCACCTTTTCACGGCTTGAGTGCATAAAACTGGGTGAGAACAGAAGTCGTCCACAACCCAACGACAATGCCAGCACTAGGAAAAAGAGCACCAAATAACATATTTTGCGGACACATACAAAATGGGCGGCATTTCATGTCGGCATTTCATCAGTGTTTTGCATGCTAAGAACATGGAAACAACCCAAACCCATAAACTTTATACACGTTTGAACACGTTGCTATTTGGCCCTTTTCTTCCTAGTGCAATAGGCTGAACGGCAGCTGCCGTTCAAAGTGCTCAATAGACAAATTCAAAGATTCAGATAGGCTCCAGCCTATTTCCACTGACTCGCGCCCAAGGTTTTGAAGTACTTGCTTGTTCTAGTTATGCACTTTCTTCCACCATATTCTGTCCTCTTGCATGTCCTTGCTGGGTATTTGAAGCGAAAACTAACTTAATTGACTTGATTGCTACTATGCGACAATAGTGTTTCCTTCACGGTGTGATCAAGTACCTGATGGCAGTACATGGCAGATGTGACCGCCTGATGTTGTGAGCGTGTAGCACACATCTATCAACAACAATGACCACAAATGATGTGTCATATGCGTGCCTGTGTGGTTAATGTGTCCAAGTTGGTACATCACTTTTATGCGGAACGTGCACCATAGTGGATGTAGCGACAATGCACTGAGCAGTTGGGGCGCCGGGCACTAAGCGACCAAAACACAGGCCGCTACTCAGGGCCGGTTGCAACACTGAGGTTGTTGTTGTGGGTCGCAACTGCATGTAAAAGTGCAAAGAACGGAGGTCCATTCTGGCCGTCGTCCCCGGAGATAGCGCAGTAAAGTCACCCTCAAACAAGCAGCTGAGCCATGTCGACAGCCTCAGCACCACAGCAGTTGAGGGTACACTCAACGAGCAAGCTTTGCCCCTCGCGCGAACCGGCTCTTTATGAAGAACTGCTTGGCGCGCCGACACAACCAACAAAACAGCGGTGACGGCAAGGGGAAGCTTCAAAAGGGTAGCAACACCCCCACTGCCAGCCAACCATGCAAATATGCTTGTGGAAACTCTTGCAGCTGCCGCTCAGAGTGCCCCAACCGGTCGCAACCGCTGCTCAACGGTCGACGAAGTCAAAACGGAGGTCAGGTCCACGGGTCAGGGCTGCCTTGTCCACAGCACGTTGGTGTATGTCACGGGGAACACTTCTCTCCGCCTCGACAAGGCTGTGCAGCGACGAAGGGTGGTCACCTCTGCAGCGCGACCGCGCTGGCACTGCTAGTCTTGAGCGGCAAGGAAAGCGGCTCAGGAAAGGCACAGACTGGCAGCGACCTTCGAAAAGGTCGAGCGCTATTGCGCTGAGGCTGTGGCGAACGTCGCGCACACGGCCAGGGGAGTCAGGCAGCCAGGCTGAGTGTCTAGACTGCCGCGAGAGAGACACACGAACCCCACGCAACCGTTCTTACAGCTGCCAAGCCGAGTGAAACAATAGAGAGTTCCCTTATGGCGCTGTCCGCGCCCCTCTGGCAAATACCCCCATTCGTAGGAGATGCTCTTTTGATACCCGGAATCTTTCTGCCACGCCCGCTGCTTCACCACAACTCAACCCACGACGCCTCAAAAACAGGCACCACGTGTGCCCCAGGGGCCGCATTCCCACCAAGCAACCACACTTCCCGTGGTCAACAACCACGTTATGTCCCACTGGACATATTCCCATCAGACAACCACGTGGCGCCTCAACCGCCACTCCTGGATCCGTCTCGCCACGATCCACGGCTGGCCGCTAGGCGGGCTGCCCCTAAACAAACACACGTGTCCAGTGGCAACCTGGGTGTTCCTCAGTACTCCCAGGCGTATTCGGGGTATGTTTGACTCATGTGTTTCCGTGTGATGCGCTGCCGCGTATTGACGTTGTGCTCCACATTTTTATAGTACCTCAGTGAACTCTTTGCGCATATGATGCAGTTGCCATCATCTGTATTTGTCATCAAAGTCATCTTCCTGCATTCTGAGTGCCTTGGGCTTGGATTGCGAGAAAGTTATAGAGCACCCTTGATGGATGTTCTGGGGTTTCTGCCTCATTGAGCGCCAACCTACTGGATGATTTTCAGTAAGGCGAAGGTGTTGAGGCTGTCGACATCCCATCTGTACCATATCTAGACCTCACGGGTCGCCAGCTGCGTGATATCATTATTTTACTAATTATTTTGATGAGCCCCATTAATTGGCGAACCGAACAAAAGCTTATCTGTGTTTCCCTCCCACATATAAGCTGGCATTCAATGGCGGTTTCCAAGCAAGATGTACTGCGAGATTATCTCTGACGCGTGAGGCCGCTTAGCAAGATATTTTGTGGACAATCTGGAGTGACCGCATGCGACTCCCCGCAGAGCCCATTATGGGCTGAATGGAGATGGATTCGTTAATTTTCGCCCTCAATAAGCCAGCGAATCAGTTTGTACAAAACAGTGCCTGGCAGATCATTATTTGTTTTCTTTTATTTCCATAGCTGATTGATCAGCATATATTGGCGATGAATTGAAGCCACCGCTTGTCGCGCAATGACCCCTGCACAACTTACGGCTCCGGTTGTGTTCCCAGTCTAATTTGCTTGAAACCGTCTTTCGGAGGATTTCCAAAGAACAAGATAACTTGCTGAAGGCGTAGCCCCAAAGAGAGTCGAATCACAACAAGCTGTTTGGATGCGCTGTTCAAAGTCACATCGAAGTCGTTAGTTCCGCAAAGTCAGTGAGAAATTTTTGCGCTTTGGCAGTGGCCAGAAGGTCTGCACGTATATTTCCACCGTCCGACCAGTGCGCACCCACATAACAGCGGCTCAGCACTTCGAGCACCACCAGCTCCGTCAGGGACCTGCGACTCTGGAATTTGATTGAGCATTATGAGATGCGCCCGCACACTTTGCGGAAAATCATTCAGATACAAGCGAAATCCATTTAGAACATCATGAGTGTTTGCGCAGTTTGCACGCAGCAGCTCCATGTCCGGTTGCCGTACCGTGTTGCTGCCTATGCGGATGATGCATTAAGCTTGAATGCAACAACATTGGGAACGTTGACGTGTGCGTACGGAAGTGCATGCCGGGCGATTTAGAGATGTAGCAAACCTCGACTAATTAGGAAATAATTGTGAGAAACTGTTGGGCTCAATGCCACAAAATCAGAGTCAGGTTGTGCAAGCGGAGAGATGTTGAAAGGAAATTAAAATGGCCGCATTGGAGCCCCACAATGCAAGCCTTGTGGGCTCGTCGATTTTCTGAATGTGGCATTCACACAGCCTTCGGCAGCCGACCTGTGCAAGACCTGCGCAGTGCCCGCTCGAGGTGGTTCCTCTACTGGTTATTATGCTTCCGGTCATTTTCGCATTTTCTAGTCGCCCTGTTGTATCAAGGGTGCGGCGCACATTCGCTAACCCAGCCAGTTTCGGCTCTCCGACCTGGCCGAGCTTCGCCACCACACAACCCGCCCAAGCCTTCGCCCGTGCAATTTGGCGCACTCCGCGGCCTGCCCCACACTTCGAGCGGGTGGAGGCACGCCAATGACAGCACTGAAGCAGGCAACTTGGGAGCGAGGGACTGAAACGCCACCGTGGCTCTGCTGTCCCACGAGATAATCACCACAAGATGGGGCAAAAAGCGGGCCCCTCCCCAACAAAATTGTATTTTCATTCCCCAACAAAATGGGCGGCGGATACGGTCTGGAATTCGAGTAGCGCGGACTGGAAAATGCAACGCGTGGCTGCAAGTGTGTGGCTACCACGGATGCTGGGCGGTGCGGGTGCACTTCTGCCATGGGCGCCCCTTGCGACACGTGGCACACATTCGATCAGCTATTGCATGGCTTGTGTTTCCATAATGTGTGCACACAGTTTTCAGAGTAATGGTACGCGTGGCGGAACGTGCGCAAACTTCGCCTCTCTTTGAAGAGGAATTCGTCCCCTGGGAGCAAATTGTCTCTTGACCCCCGCATGCTCATGTACAGTATAGTATACTAATAATAGAATAATTAATAGCAGGCTTGGTTTTGACGTTTACGTTTTTACTTTTACGTTTTTACGCGCGAAAAGGTAAATTTGCAAAGTGCCTATTTTCACGGCTATTTTTACGTTTTTGCGCCTCGCTGGTACACCCACGTTACACAATGAAAGTTGCGTACAATGATCAGTCTTCCGCCATCTCCAGCACCCACAACACAATGTTCACCTCGCCCTTGGCAAGGGCGAT